ATATATAGCATTCGTTATAACAATGAAATAAGAAATAATACATAATTAATTAAAAAGTAATAATTAAAATAATGGTTTTCGCTTTAGTGTAATTTTGGAATAACAAAATAGGCTTATAATAAAATTATATAGGCCTATGCCTTTTAATGAGGTTATAGGAATCAACGCACATGAATATCCTCCTTTTACTATATTAACCATAAATTGTGACATAAATCAAAATAATAAGAAAAAACGCAACTGTGTACGTTAATAGGCCTACCACAGTAACATCGCGCAGCCGATTAAATTACAGTCCCTTTTTAATTACAGTATTAGCAAAAAAAATATTGCATTTATTTTGTCTATATTCTTGTCTTTGGTTTAGGTAGGTAGCATTTCTGTGACAGAAAGAGTTGGAATTCACCAGACCATCAGGCAATGCAATCACTTTATATTTAAAAACAAAACAAAAAAATATTTCTCACTCTGACCTTCGCCATGGCTAATAGTGCGAAGGTCTGGAACCGCACCAGCCTATAGGTGCCCCGGGGGAATTACATTCTCATACCTTAAAAATCTTACCGGCGAGGTAATTCATATCAATAATACATTACAACTAGAAATTGCAAATTGCAAGTGAAGTGCCACGAAGTACAACTGCATATAAATGTTCTTCGAACAAAATTATTTATGCGAGTCAAGTGAAAATAATGAATAATAAAAATATAACAAATAATATGAGACACGACCCATTGTCTATATTAAAAACGAGCGTTGGTACAGTGTATGCCAGTCTACAACAAGCGTCGCCTAAATGTAATAATTAGCACGCTGAAATACGCTAGTAAATAAGTTTAACTGGGTTCGTAAATAATATTGGCCTCAAAATATTGTGGATGAGACATGGGCCGATTAAACGTAGAAATAGGAAACCTAGAAATATAGTAAAAACGCTGAATAGTAATACTCGAGCGTCGCCACATGCGGACGTTGGTACGTGTAGGTTAGTCTACAAACGTCGCCTAAAGTAATTGATTTTACCCAGCAGAACGAAAGATGGGAGCTCCGCTTTTCAGTCGTCTTAGGCTCTTGTTTTTTGACAAAAAATGACCTTTCAGAGGTCAAATTGCTTCGCAGCAACAATTATTTTTCTTAATACAAACTTAGGGGGTATGATCGCACCCCCTGCATCCGCCCCAGAGTTTGCAATATCAGCGTGACCACTCACAATTTTTGATATACACAATGACTGGGTCGAAATTACCCAAGATTCAGCAAAAATTGCCCAAAATTACCCAAGCTTCCTGAAAATACATTAAAATTTGAAAAATACGTGTTTTTCGCATGTATAGTTTCTCTTTTAGTTCAATTTATAAACCAATTTTTTTATTGTAATTGTTTGTGTTAATTATTAAAATTACTATTCATGAGGTGATAATACGGATAGAAAAATACGCCCTCAGTCATCCAGTATCAGTAGATCAGTGATCAAGTTTTATTATGTAATGCATTAATTAGGTAAGATCAATGGCAACGCATCACAAATAAACAATTCTGAACCCATGTTTATAGCAATTAACAGTCAATTAGCAATGTTATGTACACTTCGTTGAGTTTTGCTTACTTGAATGGACTGAAATATACTTTGTTACTTCTTAATTCTTCCTCTATGACAAAAATATTTAATTTTCTTAGTAAAAATAAAATACGCAAGGATTTGAACGGAATACCCAAGAACCCAAGATCAAGTCAAAATACCCAAGATCTTGGGTAAATACCCAAGCAGTGGTCACGCTGTGCAATATGTTTAGGGAGGTACGGTAGTTCCGAAGTGTGGCAGCTGAAAACGTAAGTGGACTGTTGGAGTCGCAGTGCTTTAAATGTTAGTAGAAAAATGTTATACTTTATTTGTGAATTAAGGAGTGACATGCAAACAGTACGGCTACTGATATATACTTTGAATAAATAAAGTAAACCCTAATATACTGGCACCAAGCCATTGACATTACCCTGTCGATGTGGGTTTGAAAACTGACTCTGACTCCAGAAGTAGATCCGGTTACTCGATTGCGTTCTGCGGAGAACCTCTTTCACTAGTGCTGCACTGTTCATGACTACCACTACTGAATCACCTAATTGGTGAAAAATCGATCAATGATATACGTTACGAAAGTATAATACATACTCCAAGTATTGAAATACACGCCATCGTGTTGGGATTCAATATTTCGACATTAATTATGTCAACATCAGGAAATACGTTACGGTATATATCAATATAGCGACACAATCGATCATACATTATATCGCAATATAGCGATACAATCGATCAATGATATACGTTATATAGCAATATAGCGACACAATCGATCAATGATACGTCATATAGCGACACAATCGATCAATGATATACGTCATAGCAATATAGCGACACAATCGATCAATGATATACGATATATAGCAATATAGCGGCACAATCGATCAATGATATACGTTATATAGCAATATAGTGACACAATTTATAAATCAATACAGAAACATAACATGTTCCTTAATTTATGGAAATTCTGCGAAAATATGGTAAAAGATCAAATGTTGAATTTTCGGCAATTAACAATAAGAATATGTAAAGCATGATGGAATATATTAGGACATGTTAGATGAGAATACTTCTGATTTTGCAGCTATGGCATTTGCAGTGAAGTTTAAAAGAGATTGGATGGACGAATAGGTCGACATCAGCTCAATATTGTAAACGTTATCAAAAAGGATTAAGGTTTATGAAGACTCGTACTTGAAAGATATGATGACTGGAACATAGGGGTGGAAACATTTGGTTTAATTTATTTTAAAAAATATATTTAGTTTAAACATAGGTCTACAACAGTACTTAAACAGATTTTTAATACTTTGTCTTATATAAAGTTATATAAATATATATTCTAAACATGCTCTTCTTCTTTTCGAGTCACTACATAGCTAGCGTGTATGATCTTGCTTAGAAGGATTCGATACCTGAAATGGGCCGCGACGTAAACGCTCCTTCCGTGACCGGACGGGGACTGGAAATAGACCAGTACACCGGGGTAACCCCCTACTCTTCTCGAATGATGTACTGAATTCTTTAAATTGCACACGAGCCAATTGTGTACACTGGACCTACGGTTTATAGTCCTTATCCGAGAAGACTTGTTCCACCACCGGCGAGCGTGCCGTTCGAACCCACGCCGATATTATGGCTGTATGTTACGGTTCCCCTGCCTTAACCGAATCTAAACATAAAAACTGGACATATGACCGAGGTGTAATTTCCGAAATGTAATCCCCTCATCATATGAGTTCATCTAAATTATTAAAACTTTGGAATTTGATCAGATTGTCTAGAATAAATCCTAAATTAGTACTTCAAATGTAATTGGGGTTGTTTTTTTAAATGGCGTTGCTATTTTCGAAATTTTCGTCTCTGGCATACATCCAGTGCTGTTTTTTGAGTTGATATTAGTCTTTATAAGAGATTAGCTTTCACTCATAAAGTAGGTACAATTCTTAGCCAGGTCGCGGCGCCCCGAACTACTTGATAGAGAATTAGTTGTAACTAGTTAACAAAGTATAACTAGTTAACAAAGTAATTATTTACAGTTCGATTAATGAAGTTTCTAATCATTAATACGGCTGGCATAGAACATAAATTTCTTATTGAGAAAACTACATTGTTATGGTGTCGTGCCTATGTCCATCAAAATGTCTGCGGAGTTGGGTGCTCAGGATAGCCGTAATCGCTTAGAGGCACGTTCTTGAATTACTAGTGTTATTATTTATCTACGGAATACAAACTACAGTTGTTTCATTTAATTCGATTCGATAATCGTAAATGGTATATTTATTCAAAATCGTCTTGGCAGTAAAACTGCACTGTTGTATAATGATGAATAATATTAATATAATAATAAATAATAAATAATAGTAATATGAATAATGAATAATAATATAATAATATTCTATATTATAATTACGCTTATTTCAACGGCTATGGGCATAATGCAAAACCAAGGGCCTCAAGAAAAACACCTTGGATTCGAAATCTACCTGTCTGAAAGGTTGGGATTATTTATTTATAAATAAAACTAATAACCGATAAATTGTAAACAATTCCATTGTTTGCAGATTTGGTAAAAGTGCAGTGTATAAAATGAGCGAATTCACATTTTTTTTATTTTTATTTATTTTGTTTAAAATCATTACTCAAATCGAAAGATGTAAATACTATAACAAATCTCTTTCAAACTTAATTGTGCATGCCTATAGTAAAAGTCAATAGAGTAGTTACAGTAACAACAGACGTATTTACAGTAACTCTTTACCTTTTATTTTATTGTAGGGCTGAAGACTTGGTTGAATAATTATCTCATTGTAGAGAGAATGAACGATTAAATGTTACTATATATTAAAACTTGTGATCATAACAAATCTCAATTAATATGAATGTGCTAGTTTTTGCTTTTTCACTGAATTATTAAAACTTTTTACACAATTAAAATTTTGTGTTAAGAAAGAATTATTAAAACATATTGAAAATCGAATAATAAACCATTAAAAATGCAAAAAAAAATTTCCAAAGTACCAAGTTAAAAGTATCAAAATTGTTGAGAGTACATACACTAAAATTCAGAGCTATTAACACTTCAAACGTTAGGCCTACATGCAATTCCGTATTTCTATATAGGGATATGGCCCAGTTAGGCCAAATCAACTTACCCAGCATCAGGCTGAAAATGTCTCCATATGTCTTTCTGTATTTATGAAGATCCAGGTGGACGGACGGAGAAAGGGATAACATACTACCGACGAACGGTAGTCCTCTTGGGCCTGGTGGAAAATTTGTCGTAGGCCATCGTTTTCTCAAATGGCTTATCAGCAGGAATAATGCGATAAGGCCAAGTAAAAGGCCAGTGGTAAAAAATCCGGGATCAATCGCCATTTTAACAGTGTCTCCTATCTACCCAAGTGTACATTGAGATCCGGCTGCTTACTTTAATCCATGTTTCTAAAACGATGTCATGCCCAAGTCGTAGGTCAAGTAATATGAAAACAGGCTTATATTGCGGAAGGCTGACACTGTATCCAAACAATCATTACTGGATATCCTAGATCCCAGGTCAATGTTTTACATTGGGCAAAATTGCCAATGGTACGAAATCCGATCGTAATCTGTCTGTCTATAAGTTTTCATTCATAAAAATCGTAACAATATGTACATGCATATTAAATATATACCTGCATAATATAATAACAAAACTTAAAATAACAAAATTAAAATAGTAGGCCTACCACAATTGTATCCAAAAATTAGGAAGGCCTATTTAAAAATGTTAATATACTTATTTCAAACGTGTATTCAGTACTTTCAGTTACTAAATGAACAAGTTCATCTAAAACAGAACTATGAATCAATCAGCCAAGTGTTTCTAGAGCTCCTCACGAGGCCAGTATAATCATTGAGGAATTACAGTCCAAATCGGCGATTCCAGCTATTACTGGTCGCGTGACATTGTGGGTACTAATACTACTAAATGTAAACATCAATATCGTAAACCACAGTGCGCTCATTGAACACAGTATATTGATAGAAGTTTTATTATTATTATTATTATTATTATTATTATTATTATTATTATTATTATTATTATTATTATTATTATTATTATTATTATTATCATTATCATTATTATTATTATCATTATTATTATTATCATTATTATTATTATCATTATTATTATTATTATCATTATTATTATTATTATTATCATTATTATTATTATTATTATCATTATTATTATCATTATCATTATCATTATTATTGTTACTACTACTACTACTACTACTACTACTACTACTACTACTACTACTACTACTACTACTACTACTACTACTACTACTACTACTACTTCGCGTTTTTACTTTTATGATTGTTTAGCATCGTTTATTAATAGACGAAGGAACTTGTTGCGGAGCGGCATCGGAGGGGGTGAGTTTTTTCCTACCTAAGAAAAAAAAAAGAAAAATAATTACTGTAAGATGCCATTTAACAGTGTTTGAATTGTCATTTAACAGTGTTGAATTTTAACTTTTGAATTGTGTTGCCTGAGTGGGGATGGGCTTGGAAGGGGTGTCCCCTACCTACCTAAGAAAAAAAAAAGATAAATTTATTACTGTAAGATGCCATTTAACAGTGTTTGAATTGCCATTTAACAGTGTTGAATTTGAACTTTTGAATTGTGTTGCAATGTTTGAAGAATGTATTAAACACTCTTTTAAAGTCAAAATACAGCAGTCAAACACTGTTGTGTTAAATTTAATTTTCAAAAACAATAAATAAATGGATAGCACATCATACTTGATGTTTGTACTGTAATTATGTATTTTCTTTCAGAGTGTTTCTTTTCAAAATATTTACATTCAATTGCAGTTTAGCAAACTAATTCTATCTACTAACTAGTTCTCATATTTTCATCTACAAAAACAACAGCCTTTTCTTCATACAGGCATTTTTTTCTCTTTTCTTCCACTTTATTCAAAAAAATAAACAGTAACAAAAGGAAAGTATACAAAACATATAAAGCAAATTAAATAAATAAATTCAAAAAATCTTTCCAAGTTTCCAAAAAAGAATAAAGCTGATCATTAATACATTAATGTATTTTATAGTTTGAAAATACTAAGCAATTTCAATTTTTGCCACTTTCACCTCCGGTGGCTTCCCTTACATTTTTCTTTTGTATAGATGACTACGCATAAGAGCAAAACAAGGTTTAGTGTGTGCAATTTGGGACTTCTTGCCCCGAAAATGCACATTTCTCTATCAATAATTAAGTTGTAATTTGTTTTTTCTTTTATCCATTGTGCTATTTTGGTCCAAAACTCTATTGATACATGGCAAAAGTAAAAAAGATGTTCTATGCTTTCCTGTTCAACATTACAAAAAGTACATTTATCACTGTCTTTTATACCAATTTTGTAAAGAAAAGAACTTACACCGATAAATCTATGAATTACTCGATATTTCAACCATCTTAATTTGGTATCTTGTGTGCATTTAAAAGGTACGGTATATTTGAAATCAAAGTCCAATCCTTTTGGTCATATTCTTTTTGCATGATAACTTGCCATTTCAGTTTATAAGATTCTTTAAAATTATTTTCCAACACAAGCTTATTATATACTTGTCGTGTGCCTTGTTTTAATTTTAATTTACAAGCATTTTCCTTGTTTGGCAATTTACGCTGAAATTCATTCTTCTTAAAACTGCGTTGAATACAATCAAGCATTCCATAATATTTAGTTAGATTGGATTCTATTTCGTACATATCCTCAAATTCTCTACGAGAAAGGAATGTTCCATTTTCTTTAACTAAATCATTAACATACAGTATGCCCTTACAGGCATTTTGACCTTTGCAAATATACAAAAAATAAACAACTTCTATTTATAATCCAAAAGGAAAAATACTGAAAAAACAATGAGGTACAAAATTGGTAATCAAAAGCTAAAATTTAAACGTATAGGTAAGCAGCCAGTGAGATACTGTAAATGGCTAGCTTTCAGACAGAACACTAGTCCTTCGTCAGGGCTAATTTTTTATAATTTGTTTTTATTTATTTATGAGCTACACAAATCCGAATCTGAACGTCTTCCACAATGTGGTGACTGTTTTAATCCAATACTTAACAGGAACTAAGAACAGTAAAATATTTAGATATGTTGCACTATACAGGTATTCGTAGTAATGACTTGTATGTAACACATTTGCTTAAGAGTGATGATGTAGGAAAAATATCTGT